CATGTCAACTTGAATGCTTGTTAATTTTGATTGTCTTTTGCCGCATTTACATGATCGGACTCGTAGAATACTGTAGAAGTTTTCAGTGAATATCATACGAAGAGAAGATAAGACGTTGGATTCTGCATTCAGATGAACTTCATTTGTTCCAACATGCGAGCATTTGAAACCTGATTGCATCAGTAGCTTGATACGAAACTCATATACCCTTTGTCTGTTGTTATTTTTGTATGCTGCTGCAAGTTCCATGAGTAAATCGCTTGACTCCATGTTTCTGAAAATATTTGGTGAAGTCACATAAACTCGACAAAAAATGTTCAACAGCGAATCTGGCCCACAAGCATTTTTCACCATAACTCGTGTTCCATTGTAATTGCACGTATGGAAGTTTTCGATGATTGAAAATGGTTTGTCATTTTGCTCTTCGGTGTGTACTTCTGTTTCAGCTTTGACGGCGTGAACGTAAATCAACATGTGAATTAATCGTTTCTTCTCGTTCAACTTTGATTTTGAAATTATATGTGTGTTGTTATCGAAACGATACCATACGAAATTACCGCGTTTTATATCGGTGAAGAAATGAACTTTATTTCTGTATTTTGATTGCAGAACGACTGCATTCAAAACGAATATTTGATCGTTTATCAATATTACGTCTGCAACTCTCTGATGTAGCCGATCCTCCCCTTTTGCGTCAACGAAAATGATGTTCTGCAATTCATGGTTTTTGTTGCATTGAGGCAGTTCAAACAAGGTTCCATCGAGATCGATATCCAGAAAATTTTGACAGAGACATTGCGCTTTGAATAGAGTTGTCCAGGCTTTTGTTGCCATCTCCCAGACCGTTGATTCACAGTTCATTACTTTTACTTTTGACACAATTCCTTTCGAAAAAAACTTTGAAAGTATGATATTTCGATCTTGGATGACTTTTGGAGTTACGCCCAGTTTGATATAGTTCTCAATAAACTGTACGAAATCGGGATCGGCGATATTATTGACTTTCAATTTGGTATCGTTGATGTCCAACATTTGACACATAATTATGCACACAAATAAATCAAATGCCGTCGTATTTTCAATCAAGGTGGAGCCTTTGCATCGGCTTAGGTCGCCATTCGGCATCATTGCAAATTTTGTCGTTTGTAAATTTTCAACGACCTAAAAATGAATTAACTTTTAATAGCCATCACCAAAATAAAATGATTTAAAATCCTACCTGTCGATTCAAAATAGATGTTTGCGAACGGTATGTACGCGTTTTTTCCACGGTGTTTGTCTGTGTTCCGAGATTGCGCCAGTTTTCAAATGGACGTTGTATCAGCTTTCCACGATCACCAGTCGCTCCTTCCGAATCATTCACATTGGAATTCTCTTCATCTTCCTTGGTTTGTACCTCTACAGCATTTTCCAGCTGTTTTTGTGAATACAATCATGTGTATTTTATATAAAACCGAGAAAATCCATACAAATGATATTCAAACTTACGCTGATATCCAAACGATTTAGTTGCGCAGATAAATCAATAGCTTCTGATGTCGCTGGCGATTTCTCTTTCTTATCTTCTTCGATACGTTCAGTTTCTGGTAGCAACTCAGCATTTTCCGCATTTAACAAACGATTTAATTTAGTGAGAGAATCAACATTTTCAAGTAACACTTTAACAAAAGTGTCTGGTCTGATCGGCAATTTCGTATGACGGAATAGTACGTTCTTAATTACATTAAATCTCGACTCTGTATCGTTACTGGTCGACAACACATTTTTCGACTTGAAATATTTTGTCATAACGCCGCTCCAAAGAGGCAGATCATCAAATACTTTCTTGAAAAATTCGTTCAACTTTGGGCAGTAAAATCCTTCTACTTTTTCTGGCTCTGAGGTTATTAAAGCTTGAACGTTGGTGAGAATGTTTTGAAACCATGAATTTTCAGACGGCATTCCTTCGTCTTCATCGTCGTCTTCTTTGAGTTCCAAAACATTGTCCTCTGTGGGATTTTCTATATTCATTGATGCTGTGTCATGTGACTGTATTAATTCTGAGAGAAACGTGTGACTATCCAGGCAACCACTTGCACCATTTGCTACTTTAACCATATGCTCGACGATTTGAGTGATGATATCAAAATTGTTGCAATTAATAATAACGCCAATGCAACAGAGATAAAGTTGCTTTGCGTTGATCAATTTTCCTAAAATTTTTCTTATTTTTTTCGTAATGGATTTGATGAAGTGAGCAACGTCTAGTCGAATGAAACATTTTGGGGGTTTGGTTGTTGTACCGGAAATCAATATTTCAAGCACTTTTGCAAATAATCCTTCGTGCCGTCACATTTTGCAAAACTGATGGCGCATGATCTCTTCAATGCCGCAGATGCATCAATGGTGACTTCTTTCGGTTCTTTGAAATCTTCCAGCCAGCGGGCGAAGAAGAACGAAATTCTAGCTGAGTCTTGTTCCGAAGACAACATTTGCCCGACAGGGACACTTGTACCATCCGCTGTTTTCAAATTAATGACGTACAAAAACACGTGTGACATTTTTGGTACGTTTTGAACGCAGCATTTGATATCAGTATAAAGGGACTCGCTTTTGATTACCCCACCTGTTGCATCTAAACTAATATACTTGTTCGACGTTTGCGCATAGCAATGAATTTGTTGCTGAGTCCAAAATGTTACCACAAATTGTCGACCTGTGCAAAGTTCCTTGATTGAATTATCGTTAAGCGACATACTTCTTAAATTGTGTACAGCAGTGCCCTCGACAAGATTGTGTCTACTCTTTACGCTGGATAATTTCTTTTGCGATACTAAATCGCGTGGCAACCTTTCAGCATTGTCAGGAATATTTTTCGATTGATCATGGTAAACTTGGTAAACGGTTTTGCCCTTCAGTTGCTGTGCAAGTTCTTGTGCCTTGTGTGATGTGATCCGACGAAATACTTTACATTTTCCTTCGGTGTCTGGCTTGTTGATATTTAAATGTATTTCTGTGCGGTTTTGTTTAGATTTTATGTCAATGGTCGTTGAACAATCTTGACACTTGGCCACAGTTTTGAATTCATTTTCTTTAATGTCTGCACGGTGAAAATTATATGGACATTTTGCCATATTAACTCTTTTCAGCACATTGAACATAGCATCCGTCCATCCTTCAGCCATTCGCAAACGACTTCGGCCATCATAAAATATGCGATGAATATCAAGCGCTTTTCGTTCTTCGTCATTGAGCTTCACAACAATCGTTGTACCATCTACCTCAAATGAATCAGACAAACTTGTCTCGCTTTCTTCGTCATTTTCTTTTTCCGGCTCATTTGTTTTTAATTGGACTTCACCATCACTGAATATTTCATTCAATCGCCGTTTAATTGCAAGCTGAACTGCAGCAGCCGACATATTATTGATTTTCTTCCCGATTTCGTCGAATATTTTATCTGTACGAGGCTTCAATGTTTTCTCTTTGGTCAAGAGTTCATTTTTAAACTCTTTGAATATTCTGAGCTGAAGTTCTTTGGTCGCTGGCTTTGGTTTTCCTCGTTTCTCCTCCCTAGTTTCTCCTTGCTCTTCGAGCATTGCGCTGATTTTATTGAAAAAGTGAAGCAAAAAACATAATTGACGAAAAATGAAAGAAAATGTATGTATACGTAAACTTCATGCAAAACATTAAAAAGGCAATAAATGCCCATTTCAGAATCATCATTAATAGAATTAATTTTAATATCAAAATGCGCTCTTTTAAACAGCTGCCTCTGTTAAAGACAACCTGTCTGATATGTCTAACTATCCATATA